AATATTTCTCAACTGTCTATAGTGACGAAACAGTTAACCAAATTCCAGAACATAAATTTGGTAAGACGGTTGATATTTTTATGTTTTGTGTGTGTAATTCTACTAATTCCTCTTTCTTCTTTATATATTTTAATAACAGGAGACTTATTAGGTTTATAATTTTATTATACAACTATTTACAACCTCTCATTCATTAACATATCAAACTTACTTCTTAATTTCGGCGTTGCCAACTATCTATTTTATCCTTAGGGAGTTTTTAGCGTTACCTCCAACAAAATTAACATATATATCCTATTGATTTTTAAACATAATTGATTTTGTTAATTTCTAGTAGAGATGTCTCATGGTGAATTCTGATTAAGAAATATTCATTCAATATCAATTTAATTGATTGATATCCATGATTGCTCAATGGCAAAAAAGTGTCCTTCAAAATAGTCGTATATATTAGTAGCTGGGTTTTTCACAGTTTCAATTATGAGATAACTATTCAATTTTTCATTTGAAAAAAGATTTGAATTATGTTTAACTGAGTGTAAACATTTTTCTCCCTCTTTATACACACTCAGCACAAATTGGGATGCTTTCAGCATTAAACCTTATGTTCTTCTCATTTGTAATTGAGATAAATGTTCATTGGTGGTAAGAAAATTGAGGCAATCTATGCATTTAATTTTTTTCTTCAATTTCTCAACAACAAATCCTACTGTGTAAGCAATCATGTCTTGAGCATAGAAGGTCAAATCCCAAACATTAGAGGCAATATACTCATGAAAGAATTGACTTTGTGCAGATTCCATAGGATCCGAACAACGTTTATAGGAAGTTGAGGCCATTACAAGTTCAATTTCAGTAAATGGATATACATTTTCTTTATTTTCTGCTATACCACTTCCTTGGATCAGAACCTTATGATTTCCTGTAATACAATTGAAAAATAAGTTTCAAGTACTAAAGACTGAATCATTAATCATTGAAAAATAATTGTCCAATAACTCTGACATTCTCAGAGGTATACCCCGCATTTCCACATCATACTTTATGCAAACTACCTATTTGTCCATGACAAATTGCCTCTATTATATTATTTATATTATTACTCTGAGAGGTTCAAATTCATTATATCGGTCAATAAGCACGCAAATCACCAAAAAAACTTCAAAAAACGACGAAATAAATAATAACCACGACGCCAACCAGAAGCATAAACATGGGAGCAAACCGGACACCAACATCTTTTTTATTACTCTGAGCAACATCAGAGCTCTGAGGCTTTTAGCTATACTGCTGGGGAACGTAAGCCTATGGAGAGGATAATTGAGTTCTGCCATTTTGTATTGCGGACAATAGTGTGAGTTTTAAGGAATGTATCTGAAAGTATTGGTATTCTTTATATAGACATCCGATTCTGAACCCTGGTTACTTATAATCTCTAAGACATCTAAGGATTGTAATACCTCGTTGTTTTCAATTTCATATGTCTGTTCAAATCAAGTACTTTTCCCAAACATCAGAACCTCGACGCGAGTTTTACCAAACAAGTTGGCGTCTTCAGGAGATGAAGTAAATTGATCTGATGTTAGGAGTTGAAACAAAACCTTCTATCTTAGCTTATATCATCTGCATATCGGGACTAAGTCCGTGGAAAGTTCTCTAACTTCTCTTTCGCTTCCAATTCAAATCTACTCGCAATTGGTCGCACCGACTTGTCAGATTCGTGCATTCTTGGTAGACCGCATATTTCAGAAACGGTAGTATTAGAAACTTGCAGAGTCCGGTTCAAAGTAAGTGCAATAAAATTTTGACACTTCTGTATTTTTCACTTCTGAAATCATCGCAATTAATTCCTTGATAATTTATTATAGGGACCATTCTCAATTGAATTATCAATTCTCTCATTATAATATGGTTTGTTCAATATCACAACCCTATTGCCTTTGCCTGCTTTCAGATATGCAACATCTTTCTCTTTCAATTATTTGATAATATTTTACTTTCTTGGGAATTAGAAATTACTGGACTTCATCTCCTAAAGATGCCAACTTGGTAGGTGAAATGCACATCGAGAAAAGTGTTGCAGTTCTGAAGTTTGTAAACATTGTTATGAACAATTCATACATTTAAAATGATTATTTTAATATACACAAATATACATACTTTCATATATGAATTATTCTCACTGAAAATCCCCCCCTGAAATTTAGATCTAAATCCGCCCTTGATTTGAGTGTCTGCTAAACTACCCAACAAGAGAAGAAAATAATTTCCTGCGAAAAACTCATTATCCTATTATAATTAGTTTCATATCGATGAAGCTACTGATAACACTTGAAAATTTTTTTGTAAACCGATCTGATCTTTGATAAAGGGCAGCGTCCTGTGGCATTCCTATTTCCAAAACGGTTGGGAAAAGTGATGTCACTAGTACTCGTCGCATAAATTTAATATCCAATAATGGGAAATATTTTGAGAAGAAAACGAATCGAAATCAAGGTTAGTCAATTTTTTGAATAATATGAACTATTATATTATTAGCCTCAATTCGGTTTTTGCAATAATAAATCAACAAATGTATCAAGCACGACTGAAGCAAGTCTTGTGCATCGGCGGTCTTTTTAGACATTAGTAGATATACAACAGGGATTCTGGAACGGAAGCGGCTTATCAATGTTAGCGGTGGGGTTAGCGCTGTTTGAGAGATAACGAGTCGAACGCGCTTGGAATGATATGAGAACAATCATAATTGGGTATACAGGGTGTTGTTTCAAAACACATCAATCAAATGGTTACAAATATAGCGTTAAAGAAAAAACGTAGCAGCCAACATTAAAGAAAAAAAATATGACTACGGTATTCAGGGTGTAGTTCCAAAACACATCAATCAAATGGTATACATGGTGTGTGCGACGTTGAAGAAAAAAGCATTGCTGCTAACTATAAAAAAATGGTATAATAATAATGACTAATAAAAAATCAGATAAAAAAACATGGCGGCGGACATAAGCGGAATATACAGGGTGCGTCGAAATACATTTAAGAAAAATCAGAGCAGTTTAACGGGGATTGGAGTTACGTTTTAACGTGCGATCCAACATGCCAGAAAGACAGAACCATTTATCATCGATAATTGTGACCAATATATGGATAAACGAAGTTTCGGTTCTTTACGATTAATCGAAAAATAAACACTTTTGGTTCATAAACATTGAGATAAAAAAATAAATGACGAATTCCAATTTTCCATATGGAGAAGAGTCCAAAGCTTCCGGTCATCCGATTTCGATAATTTCGACATCAATGGATTCGTCTCGATGCCAAGAAACATATTTAAGCATTTTAAGAAGTGTAAAAGACATAGAAGACTAACTTTGTTATTATTGAAGATAGGAGGGGATATCGGGTACGCTAACCTCACAAAATTTTACTGGAGAACATGAAAATAAAAATCATAGGTGTATGTCATGCATTTTATTTATTTTGGTGGTATGTT